GCCAGGACAGAGAGAAAAAGGAGCAAAGCAAACCCCTCTATGTGTGAAAATCCACAAGTATTAGATACTTAAACAAACCCTAAGTCCCTCAGTATTGCAGTAACATCAAAACCTTTCACTATTGTACCAGTGTGTCAAAATATGTCAACAAACCATCATACTGCAAGAAGAAGAATGACCTTTCAGTTCTTTATGTTTGGGCTGCCAATGAAGCTTTGGATACCGGGTATGCATGAATGGTTTTCCTAGCCACTTGACAAATGCAACTCCCAAGGTTTCCTCCAAGTTTAGTTGTTACACTGGCTTTCAACTCACCAGTACAACTTTTTAAACCATCTGCATTTTAAGAATACTGAACTTGTTAATAGAACAGAGATCCATAAACCCACAGCATAAATCCCTCTTTCTCTGCCACCTACAATCAGACAACAATTATTACTTCAGTCTTCACAGTAACATGTCAAATCATTTTAAAGACTTGAACAGCAAAAAATGTCTATCATTCTGATGTTCTAATTCCGCCCTTGCTCATATATAACTCATAGTTATAGTCAACTGCAAATGAATTTGAATCCTCTTCCCAAAAAACCCAAGAACACATCATCTGTGATTGTGACTGAAATATAATGTTTTGCATCATTTCTGTTTGCACTTATTTGAAATAAATACCCTTTTTAATCTACAGGACTCTATGACAATTTTACTATGACTGTTAGTTTTAAACTAAAGTCTCAAGATCAGACATAATATATTCATTAACAAGACAATGAATCATGAATTTAGGCTTCCAAAAAGTGTGGTTACTATTTTAAAATCACTTATGGGAAACTTGCTTTTATTTATTTTTTCAAAAAAGGAGAAGCACAGGACTAACAACATTTAGAATGCAAGCAAATGAGGGAAGGATTTTACTACAGAGATGACTTACCATTTTTATTCAAAGAGAAGATGAAATGCTTCTCTTTTACTGTGTGAAATTGCCTTTAATATCAATGTCAAATATGACATTTTCCTACGGTCTTCCTCACATATAGTAAAGTTTCTTTAGCTAATAACGACGTCAAGCTTTCTCCTGGGACTCTCTAGAAATTACATTCCAGAATGTACATATGTCTTAGCCATGCTTGCAGAAGATAGAAAATGTAAATTGCTATATTTGAGTTTATATCTTCTTACAGCAAGTCACTGATAGTGCACCCACTAATTACTATTTGAACTGAGTGTTGCTGATCTCTATATCCTTCTTAGAAAACAGCAGTTGTGCCTATCAGCTCTGACTAACAGACTTATACAGCCAGGACTCCAAGTTAGAAAAAAATTAAAAAATTAGACACTACAGGAAAAAAAAAAAAGGGAACAACAACATTCATCTAAACCCTAAAATAATTTACAATATGTTCATAGACCCTGCTTTAAAGTGCAATCTGCGTAACTTCCTGTTCATGCTCTCCAAATTACCTTTGGTCACACTGGCTATTCAACAGTTTTTATTCTCATAGTTACAAGAAATACACCAATGTAGGCCAGTGAACAATGAAAAGTATGGTATCTACTACATGTGCACAAAGCAATTATATTTTGCACATGTAGTTGTTTTGCTTACCCAGTGGCACTGAAAGCTATAGCCTGCTGAGTAGATGCCACCGAACAAACATAAGGAGGGAAGGGATTCTGTAAGTACATGAAACATTTCAAGTTTTTCCAGTATGTACAAGAGCTTTTTTTTCTAAAACATCACTCTGCAAAATCAGTCTGGGAATACGCAAGACCAAATTTGCCTTTTTCCTGTTTCTTTATTATTAAAAAAAATCTCAAATATCTAAAGAGCATCTTAAATTACAACTGTGCATATCCACTGACAAGGTACACTTTGTACATTTTTAATGTGAAGCTTAATTTGAAGATGAGGTTGCAGTGCACCACTGCAACTGAAAATTGCTTAACAATACCATTGATGTATGAGCCATAAAAACCCTTGCTAAGCTGTCCCTGCAGAACTCAGAGTAATAAAAAGGTGTTCTTTTGCACTGAGGTGAACAGACATGGTTGACTGCATCTAGGGAGCTGTTCTGTTAAATGAGAAAGTGCCATTTCTTTCCTGTCAGTACAGACCAATTTAAGACACTCACAGATTTAGTTAGCACAGAGTACAGGATTTAATGAAATACACACATAACAGTAAACAAACCACAGCTATGTTCAAAGCTTTCAGTCACATTGAGTAGAATTCATCTTACATCTGTGACACACGGGAAAAGAATCCAGAAACTTTTCCAGTCTGACTCCTCATTTTTAGAGAAGCAATAAAAAAGCTGAATGGAAAAACCTAAAATCTCTCACTTTCATTCCTTTCAAAGTATCTAATTTGTATTTCTATCCACATCTAACAGGCAATGTTACAGATTTTCTCTTAATTTTCATTTCTGCTCTAAGTTCAACCAACGGATCAGGTTTACAACACCCTAAACTATCAGCTGAGTGTCATGATATCTCTATTGTGAACTGATGCTGCTTCTCCAAATGATTTCTCTGTTCAGAGGAAGGGAGACACAAAGATATGGTGAATTGACTGGGAAGCTGGTTCTCACTTGAGAGATAGGTTGATTAAATAAACCAAAATTAATTCACATTTTGGGCAGCTACACCTGTGTCCTTTTACATAAATAGTTTCAGAGACCAACGAAAGTTAACTGTCTAACCTATTTGGAACCTAATCTGTCAACGTGTGTTCATTAACTCAACTGTCATTATATTAGAAGCTACAGTAACTCAGAGCTCATTTCAGAAGATGTAACACTGTCAGTTTGGCCAAGTGGTAGCAAAATTAAGACTAACAGGATTTGTTCTTTAAAGAAAGGCCAAAGAAATCTGCCTAATTTCCATGGTTAACCTATCACTAAATTTTAGATTTAGGGTGTAACAAATCTCACTAAAGAGAACTCTAGTTTCCCTTATATGAATGTAAAGTCATTATATGTAAGAAGCAACAATTTTTGTACTTCTTTTTAATATGAACACTATAACAGATTTGGCAAAATCTCAAAACCACTTTCAAAATGTTTTACTGATCCACATATAATTTCAGTCTAGCTTTTGCAACATTAAAGATACTTGACTAACAGCTCAGTGAGAAAATATTCCATTTTTGAAGTTGAATTATTAATTAGTACATGTTGAAATTAAATTGAAGTTAGCTACGTCTTGGTTTATTGATAAAAGCGTAAGAGAAATTTCCTTTGGGAATGTCAGATTCAAATGATACACTTTATTCTCAAATGTTTTACACATTTTTATAGCTCAAATCAAAATGTGGATAGACACTTCGTTCGGCACAAAAAAAAGAAAGAAACTTCAACTTTGCAATGGCAATTTTATTGCAAACAACAAATGGATCAGTGCCTTCATCCTACTTGTCTACTACACTTTCACCCCATCTCAACTTACAAAGTATCTCTATGCTCATGTTATCTATTTAAAATTCACTTCTTGGAGCTGCTTTTCTCTGATACCATCATGGATTCCTTCAAACACATCCTTTATGCTCAGAAAGTATTCCAGCCAATACATCTAATGGCCGCCTCCTGGCCTGAGCTGCTCCATTTCATTTATGTTGATGTGCAGTTCAGCACCAACAGCATAAGCATCTTTCCTGCCATTCTCACCATTTGCCTAGATATTGTATATACTCAAATTTCTTTCTAAGTTTTATATTCTGTTTATATGTTTCACAATTTATTTTCTACAACTTCCCTGTAGTATCTTCATCCAACAACTGACAGCCTTCCTGGGCTTCCCATTGCCTTGATTCAAGTTTTCCAAGTCACTGATTTCTGGGACTGTCAAATAAGAGCATGTCCTTATGTCAATCAAGAATGTTGCTGCAGAGCATAATTCCAAACTTTGATGATGTTGTTCTCAAGATTTGGTTTCCCTTTCTCTGATGCCTTCTATGGAATCTGCTTTTAAAGTATTTCCGAAGGTAATGCTAGCTATTTTCACCTTGATATTTCTCATTTTCAGCTGAAATACTAGTGGTCAACAGACTAGACTCTGATGTTGGAGCACACTCCCTTTCTGGTGCATGTTTATATGTTTGTGCCATGTTCTCCATTATCCCTCAGATGGTCTCTTGTTAACACTGAGCAACTTCTAAATTTATGCTTTAAAAAATCCTTTATTAAAACTTTCATTTATCTCACTTACTATCTTGCTTAGGGTTCTACCACATACAAAAATGGCATTGAAGATAAAGCACTGTGCTTAAGATTTTTTTTGGAAAAAAATCCTCCAGTGAGAGGGTATGTAGGACCATGGAAAGATATACAAATATACACAGCACTGACTTTTAGAAGAATAAAGCGGAAGTATTTTAACCATCTTTAAAAGAAAAATCTTTATACCAACACCATCAACATGTTTCAAACTTCTGTCTAGCATAACTTATTTACCTCCTTACATTCCTGCAAATACTTACTAAATTTTTAACTTGAAGATAATTGTTATTCCTGCTTCAAATGTAGATAATATACAAAAGAAATACTTTATTAAAAAAAACCCAGTGAAATAGTATTGTCCCAGATACAATGACAATAAGCAATAAAGTTCTTCACACACAAAGCCCGCTTGGTTAGACTGCAAAGATTTTTAAACAAATTTGTCATCTTGCATGTATTCCAAAACTTTACAGCAAAATCTTCTTTCAAAGTCAAGTACTAAAAAATTGACATATAACTTCTGTACTGAAGTAACTTACTCTGTCATGTAGCATCACTGTAAAATCACCAGATGTATCTGCTGCATGTTAACAATTAGGATATGAATTTTTCACAAATATTTCATAATTCCAATTTGACATGCTAAGTAATGACATTCAAAATGCCAGACTAGTAACATGTATTTTGTCCGCATGGCTTAATACCATAGTCACTACTGCTTTATCCAGTAACTTCTTTTTAAAATGTAATCCTATTTATCAGTAAGGAAAAATAATAGAAATATACCTGTTCCAGTAGCTCCAAAACTGGTCCTGCAAATAGGCTTGGTGGCTACTTTCATCACCAAATGAGGCTTTGCTTTCTATCCAGTGAATTATGTGTCCTTCCACAGCTAGGGTGACAGCAAAAAAGAAACTGAACTCTGAAAATCAAACTCAACAGCCTATAAGAGTGTGTTTGTGAATATCCTATTTACTCCACAATCTACCACATAATTCATGCTTGCAACAGTTACATATTTGTAAAAATTATCTTTCAAATATGCACAAAAAGGACATTTAAAAAACTTATCAGAAAATACTTTAACAGATATTGATATCAATTTCAGTTTAATTACATCCTGTTCTAGATACTTGCATTTATTCTAACACAAAAAGAAAAAGAGATCAGCCTAAGAAGCATGTTAATGGTGAATCTTATCAATGTATAAAACTTTCTGAAGGGTAGGTGGTAAAAAGAGGGAGACAGGCTCTTTTCAGTGGTGACAGGACCAAAAGCAACGGGCACCGAAACACAGGAGGTTCCATTTGAACATTAGCAACCACTTTTTCATTGTGAGGGTGACTGAGCATGGGCAAATGTTGCCCAGAGAGATTGTGGATTCTCCCTGCTTGACATTCAACAACTGTCTGGACATTGTGTTTGGCAAACAGCTCCAGGTGAACCTGCTTGAGCAACTAGCCACCAGCCTCAGCCATTCTGTAATTCTGAAAGTTCACAATTTTCCCTGCTAACTTTAGACCTTGCAAAAACCAACAGTTCCCTCATCCCCTCAAGTCCTTGAAGCTTCCTGAGATTCTTCACAGTAATTATGGAAGTGAAGGGGTAGAAATTAACCGAAAACTCTCCACATGTGGCTTGACATGAGTGAACCGAAGTAGGATGCCAAACCTCCCTGTTTCAAATATATGGAGTCCTTTAGTTACAAAGGTATTTTCTGTTTTGTTATTAACATGACAACCATTTTTGTTTTTTGGAAACATGATTAGGTATACAAACATCACTAAGCTAAGGAAAGTCTTTAAAACCTTTTCAGAAGACTCTCATATACACAGTTGTTCGCTGGATAACAGGTGATTGTGCTGAAAGATGGTATTTCAAGCAGTTCTGTGTAGTGATGCATTTTATAGCACACATTCCATTCCTTATACTAGTGTACAAATCAGTTATCTCAGTAAGAATTTCAGTTATTGCCAATATGAAAAAAAAAAACTAGTCATGTATATGACTCACACAGTACTTTCAGCCTTTTTACTTTCTCTGACAGACAGAAAAGTAGACATCTGCATAGATGGGTGCTGCATTCTATGGAGGCAAAGCAGAAGTCTTTTGGCACAAAAGCCAATTTACAAAAGGTGATTAATAATCCTTTACATTTGGACAATTTGGATGTTCTTTCTTCTGTGGCCCAGTGACAAGGTCATCTGGTTACCTTCTCACATGACCTCAGGACCAGAAAAGGTGGATGAACTTTATGACCTTTGTACCTACTTTTATTCTTTATTCTTTCTTGCTATTCAGGCTTTTAAAAAACAGTGAAGAACTGCAGAGTTGTATCTGGATCCAAAGTGATGGCAAAAAGAATAATTGCACCACGACAAACCTTTATACAATGACCTGTAGGTGTAATAGTAATACTCTTAAGACTGCTTTGAACTGATTTGGTCTAGGAGTAAAAGACAATTACAGGCATTTCAGAGTTTAGTTCAGAAAGATAGTGGGTACAGTACATCAGAGGGAGCAGGGATTTGGAGGTTCTTGTTGTTTTTTTTTTCTTTTTTGATAATGAGATAAAAACATGGAGAGACTAAAGAGGAAACACTGGGTAACACTACTTACGATCAAATCTCTCTGAACCAAACTAGGAAGTTCTTAAAATTATTGGGTAACTCCTGAAGAGACTAATTTGTAGTATCCTAGATTATGCTTCACTTAAGTAGCCATAATATTTTAGCAGGAACTCTTCTACACAAAACAAAATTATAAAAGTTCTTTTAAAAGACTTACCTACTGGTACTTCTAAAATAAAGTCTGGTGTTTTGTCATAACCCTTCGCACGAAGCTGATCTTCAGCTGTACATACAGAATAAGGACTACTGTTTATAAAACTATTCCATTAAGTAGACAGCAGCATAATTAATTTTATTTTAAATAAGAGTGCAAGAATTACTAATGCAGTCATACATATCTTTCTTATGCATGCAATGCTGTGTCAAATTAAATGAACCTTTGTAGAAAACCTGAAGCATGGATATAAAAATGCTTCTTTGTCATCCCTGCATTTTTATGTCTTCATTATAAACATCATTAATTCAAGCTGTCATACAGTATTTTATAACCTCCAAATATTCAAAGTAAAGAGGTATATTCACTGATTGAAAGAAGAGCCTCTCCACCTTCGGATGCGTAAAGATTAATCCTACCAACACCACAAATGTAGATATACTGTAGCTGTCTTCTTGGCTTTATTTTTAATGTTAGCATAAAGTTGTTTAAAAAAAGGCATGAAAATCCTTCTCTCCCAGGAATTTATTAAAGTAGAGAGGAGCCATAATTTTAGTTTCTCTTGCATTCTGGATTCTATAGAATTTATCCAATTTCAGAACATACAAAGATTTAGAAATTCTGCTAACATTAATCATACAACTCTATTACTTACAGATATTAGAGCTGAATATTTCAAGGAGTAATAATGAGCAAAATAAAATCGCAAAAGACAAAGGGTGCTCCCTTAAAAAAAAAAAAAAGAAAAACAGGCAAAAAAAAGCCCAAGCAAGCCCTTAATATTTTTAAACTATTATCCTTCATTTCTGATACCATTACATTGGTATTTCTGAAACACCATTTCTCCATTAGAATTTGGAGTGACCTGGTCATTCAATTCCAGGCATGGCTTTCTGTCTTCACCCAGGCTTAACTAATGGCACTACCTAGTAACAAGTAAGGCTGTGTAGCCCCTTAACACCTACTGGGCTGTTGACATTGTCATGCATCCCATTCGCCTTTCTACATCACCTTTGATTAAAATTAATGGCCCATTCTCACTGTTGGGTAGCTTATTTCCAATCCATTTATCAGGTTAGGACAGTAGTTTCATGGCCAATGTTCAGAACTCAGTTTTTGAATACTTTGTGCATATCCTGAAAGGTCAGCAGTTTGAGTCCAAGTAACATTTTAATGACATGAAAAACATAGAGTCTTAGAAATCAAAATATTGTAAAAGTGCCAAAAGCAAACTCTCTCACTCTTTTTATTGAAGAATATAAGTCTGAAGTATTATTTTATATAGTGAACTCATTCTGAAAGTGGGACAGGAGTAAATTTGGAAAGCTGTACATTCTCTTCTCTGTAAACTGCAATAGCTGTTTATTCTTTTTGAGAGTTGTACTATTTTTTTTAATTTTGAGAGCATTTCTTCACTATAAATAGACTATATTGTAAATACAAGCCTTTGCAACGCAATACTTCATTATATCACCCAATCAGGTAATGAAAAGCATTTCTAGGATTTGGAGACAGACTTGGTTGTTGGCTATTTTTTCAAACTAAGATTGTCACATATATGGATAAATGCTGTTAAGAATAAGAAGGTTCTAATTTAACAGAACCCATGAATAGAGAGTTTTATGCCATAACATAAAAATGAATTAATGTTCTATGTAATGTCTCGATCTTGATTAAAAAAAATCCAGTTTCATCCAACTCTATTTAACTGTAACCTGCTCTTGTTTAAAACGATCTAGAATAGACAATAGGATGTCCCAGCTGAAATGTTCATCATTCAAGAGCAATAGCATTAGAAAGGTCAGTCTTTTCTTTTGCATCTAACAAATCCTACTACCACAAAATAAGGGAAATGCACCTTAAAAAAACCCTCACTGAAAACCAGGACAGATACAAACACGGTTGGATAGGTCACCTTGGAAGGTCTCTGAACTAGAGTCTGTGTCAGCATTACTTTTAATATTCTTCAGCAGATTCTTTTGGTACTAATTCATTGATTAAAAAAGAACATGGTTTTTGTTTTAAATCTGTTTTTGAATGTCTTTATTTGGTTTTTCCCAACATTTAGTGATAAACACTGGAAAATATACTAAAAAGAATGTTCACTGTTGATGTGAGTTGTCTACCTTGTGGAGGAATATAATTTTGCACTATTATTTCCTCAAGTGTTTTGAAGCTTTATAACTCTGAAGAAAAAAATAATTATAGAAACTCCCCATAATCATTAAAGAATTTTTGTTTTAAACCATAATCCCACCAAAAAGATGTTCTAGCTTTTCAGTTCAGGTATGTTTCACATTGGTCCAGAAACTACAGTGGTAGCGTTCTGCACCTCAAAATATCTTCTAGCTCTAGCATGGATTAAGAGAATAATTTAACAACTGTTTGGAAGCCAGCCCACAGCAGCTTTGACAGTTACACCTATGCGTCCTCAGATTTGCAAATTATGTGGAAACAGCTCCAATAAGTATTTTGTCTACAGATTGACCACTAATTTTGATTTCCAACAAAACTGCAGCTTCATCTTTGCCACAACTTCACACTCAATCATAACCATTTAACACATCATTGTTCTTATACTAGCCTCTGGATATTACAAAGAAACAAAACATTCTTTTGTTGGTGCATGAATGAGCTGCAACTGCAAATTTAAGATCACAGCAGAAAACATGGATCAGATTTCATGATTTATATCCAAGCTACTACTGAGGGACGCCATGGTGGGAGCCAAAGGAGGATAAAGCTCAGTACCAACCGATACAGGTAAAAGCTTTCCTAATATATTTATGGTAAAGATATAAAAATCTCTCTCTCTATATATATATGTAAAGGATCTATATATAGAACTTAGAAATTCTTGGCATTTCAGTATGGTGTGTGAAGCTGTTTTGAGAGAATGCTTCTGCTGATCACTTTAATCTCAGGCAAAGTATTTTTCTAAAGGGAGGACCTGGGATATGATGAGCTTCCCATGAGCAGTGGATTAATAAAATGTAACCCCATTAGTGTGTATAGGTTTCCAATAAATTTCAGGGTGAGTTTGAATGTATTACTTCTGATCTGTAGGCTCTGAAAGCTAACTGCTCTACAAACAGACAAATTATGTCCTGAACCTGAAAAGCTGTTTCATGTTCCAATACTATACCGGGGCAATTTATATTCACTGCGTCCTTTGACTGTGCTGTCTTCTCCTGTACTAGATTCTCTGTTGCACAGGTGAACAGCTGATACAAACCCCCTGACTATTCTGAAGGACAGTACACTGGAATAGTACACTAATATGGAAACTGTGAAAATTCTGGTTTTTATATGTTAAAATGTAATGGAATTGCAAGTCATAAGCCATCTTCAAAACTGGAATGAAGTCTTACACAACAAAGTCTGAATTTGTGAACCTATAGGAAATTCTGTCATCTCTTCTGTTTTCCTGAGGTTTCCTCAAGCAGTTTTGGAAACAGTTTTTCAGAAATAAAAGGTTTTATTAGGAGTGACTCAAAAGGGTTCATCTTCCAGACACTCAAAAAAAGCTTTTCTTTTCAGAAAAAAACAAAAACCAAAACCCAAACACATCTAGAACCTGAAAGACACTTGTAATGCACAGGCACAATAAACACAAATGCTTAACATATAAACAGTAAATTATGCTCTCTCATTTATATCTTCATATCCTAATGAGTTAACTCATTCTAGATGTTTTGATTTGACAGCATAGATTTCTTAGACCTTATTTCTAAAGACAAAATTGATGCTTATCCAAGTTCGCAAAACATTAAAATGTAAATCTGACTTGTATACTGCACAAGCTTACACAAGCCAAATAAAATCATAATTGTTGGGTTGAGGATCCCTCAGTGAGTCATCTAATCCATTCCCTTGTATTGTGACAGGATTGATTTCATTACCAGCTTTGATAGATGAGTGTCAAATCCAGACCTGAATTTTCCATTGGAGGTGATTCTATAACCTTCCCTGACAGTTTGTTTTATACTTCTTATTTCTAGAACTGTTTAGTATTTTACCTCAACATTGTCTCTACAGTTACAGCTTAAGCCTATTACCTGTATCTATGTTCTTACAGTCAAGTAGGAAAATCTACTGCTCCACATTTTCCTAGTGTCACTTGAAAGCTTGCATGTGATAGTTATTCCTGTCCTTTTTTCACTTTTGTATAAAAGAACACACTAACTCTCTTCTTTAATTGTACAGACAAATATTTTTAAAAGCTTAATACGCCTCCCAATTTCTTAAATTTGTTTAAGGTTTCCAAAATCTTAACCTGATATAGGTTCAGGAGAGATCATAGTTCCTGGTAAAACCAGAAAATTCACACATAAGTACAATGCTCAAACCATTAACAAAAGACAGCATTTTACTTTGCTATTGTCTCATCACATAAGGAATCCAAGATTTAAGAAGTCATTGTTTACTATTGAATTAAGAGAACGAGCGCTTTAAACACTAATCTTTATTTCAATAGCACTCGTGTAAAAGAAACATACTGCAGGCTAAAAGAAAAAAATGAAAATCACTTCCTAACTAATTAATTCTTAAAATAACTTTAAATACAGGGAGCGTGAAAAAGAGTTCTTGCATTGATTGGGAGGCAGGGGGCAAAAATTCAGCAGCAACTGCACAGAAAAGTAAATGAGTGAATCCTCTAGCAGTTCTTTCATACATAAAGCATTCTGAAGCTAATATTTCTTATGCTTCCTCCTAAGTCTCATAAGGTCTAGATTATGGCTAATATCTCATGACACCAAAAGTAATACTGCAGCAGATATTAAAGCATTTTTTTCAGCTACTTATTCTATAAAATATTAATTGCAAGCCTGTGCATGTACTGTATATAAAGGGTATTAGGTAACTGAGTTCCTGCTCAGTTCTAAATCAATAAAAGATAACATGAACAGCATCAATCATTTTTTACTCTTCCTTTTCTACCTAATACAAGGAATGTTGAGGCTTATTTTTTCTTAGGTAAACAGTCACCAATATCTTTAAAGTTAAGAACACACTGGCTAGCCTCTACTACAGATTCTTACCTATGAAAGAGAGATTTTTTTCCAAAAGCATTTCTCGCAGCAAGACTTCATGTTCATGCCCAATAGCGCTGATAGCTTTAGGTTAAGAAATGGAAGATTACTTTGGAAAAGAAGCAACTTCATAAAAACATCATAGGTAAAGTAATTCATCATAGAATTCATTGACCTTCATCTGCATTTCAGAAGTGATCAGTGATTTGAACTCTCAGTTCTAAAAATCCTTACAGGGATTTTCAGAAGTATGTGTCACTTTATGAAAATCAGACTACTGCATCAAGAGCACGCATTTCACAGAATTAAGACCCACTTGACCATATTTATTAAGCATAATTAAGGACAATATTTCCATTTTTTCTTTATTCTCCCTCTAAATTTAAGAGAAAGTGTGATCTTAAAACACACAGTTAAATACCTTTTAAGTTGCTCTTTACTGACTAGTGTATCAATTCTCCAATTCAGCAAAGGATGAAATAAACTGGGATTTTTTTTCTTTATATTCTGAAATTGATAGGCACTACAACCATCTGAAACATCTTACTGTAAAAAACATCCTTTTAATTGATTTTTCGGAAGCATGAACTAATGCCAGGGAAGGATAAAATAATATTTTATAGTGAAGTCCTTTTCCCTTCACTGACAGCTGTTGATCCAATGTGCTATTCTTAGTGGTATGAAAAAAGTCACCAGATTAAATATTTTTAATGTATCCTTCTAGAGGTCAAAGTTCTATTCTGGAAGCTTTGAAGAAGAATCCTATGGAACATCATGGTAAAAGATCTTACATTAAATGCAGTTAAGTTCCAAATTCTGTTTAGAATAACTTCTGAAAACTTAAACTACAGATCACCTTACCATTACAGTTAATTATCTAATTTATATGAACACTTCATGCTGAACAGCAAAAAAATAATAATTCTTTGTAATCATTTCACATGTACATACAGTTTTTATTAATTGAAACTACATATTATGCTAAACTCTACTAGCAGTTTCAGAAGAACAGCAAAAAGGTAAGAAAAATATTGCAAACAGAATTTATAATGCACCATAAGCAGAAACACCGCTTAATAATAATACCTGTTATTGATGTATGGCAATGACCATGGGGCAAAACTTGTAAATAACTTCACAAGCCATTTTCTACTCATGCAATCTAGCAGCCTAGTTTCCCGTAAGCATCTGAACTATTACTGAAAAATAGCCTCTTGGCATTTACAAAGAGGTTGACTTCATACTTTAGTCCATGCATATACAATTAGATAGATACATTTAAAATCAATATGCAATCCTTCAGAAGACATTATGCTTTTAAAACCTTAACTTTAAATTGATTTTTAACTATTTTATGCACCTCAAAATTAATATCTAATTCAGCAACATACTTACAGTAATGCACTCACATAGCTTAGCATTAAACTTTTCTGAACCAAAATGGAATTGAAAAACTTCTCATTACTCTCATCAATGTCACTGCGTATTCAATAACTGACTTGAGCCAGAATCTGAAGAGGATACAGAAGTCTCTTATAGACTGCAGGCAAGCTATTCTTTAAAAAGGTTCATATGTCTACATATGTGTCATTATTACTTTTAAACATGACACTTTCAAAAGTCTACAGCCAATCAGTAGACTTCAGAAGTCTACAGATTGTTCAAGCACAAAATATTAATCTTAAAGTTCTGGATATGAAAATTAGTGACCAACAACCTTTTAAAAAGTGCAACTTATTAATCCACTTTTGGACAGCTTTGTTTGATCTTGAAGATAGTCCCAATGAATACTTAAAATTACAATTTAAAGCACAAAATACAAAGAAAATTAGACCACTATCCTGCTGTTGTTAAAGTTAATGGGAGCAGGGCTGAGACTGTAGTACACATCAGACAAGTATTTCTAGTAGAAAGAACATATTTTTAAGGAGTGTCAATCACATGTATCACACATACAAGTAGTACTGTTTTTCAAGCATAACTAAACATCACAGTAGCTTTCCTATCCTGGAACTTTACAGTGAAATCAAGATCTTCCCCCAAACTGCATGCAGAGATTTGTGCAAGGATTTTCCAGGACTTGGGAGGGAACTGCCTTACTAGCCTGCTCGGTGATAACAGGTCATGATTTTGAAATTGTTCCTTTGACTGCATACTGAAACAGAAGAGCTACTCCTTCAGTACTTTACTAAAGCAGATTTGGGGTCTCAGTGATCATTCCTAACAAATTATAATCCTAGTCTGTAATAGTCAGCGTGGAGTTCCCTCAGTGTACTCACAGTGCACTGAGGCTCTCTAATTAACCATTTCAACATCACAAAAAAAAATCCCTGAAAATTCAAGCTACATAGGGTTTTTACTACAGCTAGTATAATTTCCTTTAAGAAGAAGAGAAAATAAAAGAACGGCACTGGAACATCAGATAGGAGCTTAAAAATACTAATTGGTCAAACTTGAATTGCACTTGAAAACATTTCAATTAAAACCCATATTCATAACAAAGCAAAGTCATAATGTTGAACACTATCTATGAAACTTAACAAAACAGCTGAGATTGGAAGGTATCTCCAGAGATCATCTAGTCCAACTTCACCACTCAAAGCATGGTCAACTAGTCTTAGCACAAAACCAGACATGCATTTCAACTAATCAAAACCAAAGAGGTTCAATCAGGCATATGAATGACATATTCCCGTGGTCCATCTGATTTTCGTTCGTGTAAGAGAAAGCTCCGCAGTGACTCTCTAGCTGACTGAATGTAAAACAGAGGAGTATGAAACGTGTTTTGTGAAGCAGAACTTTATGTCAGGTTAAAGCTAGACACATCTCTTCCACACAGTCTAAGCTCGTCAATTGTGCACCTAAAATTTTATGGGAAAGGATACTGTTTGATGCAGTCCACCAGTGGTCCATAACAACAGTCATTCACAGTACACTGCAGACAAATAAGAGAAGTAGTATACTGATGGGCAACTACAAAACCATTATACTTAAAGACTATCTTAAAAACAGTAATTACTTTTCCTCAAAAAGGCTATCAGATGCTGTTCAGATTTAATCACAGAAAACAAAAACTGTATGCTTTTACTCACTATAAAAGCAAGCTATTAAAAAGTGAAATGGTCCCCTCACAAATATTGCATTGCCATTTATTGTGCACCCTGACCTCACTGATAGTTTACGATGACAGTAATTAAATGAGGTTTAAAATCTCTTACTCTGCTAGGCAGATAACAGCATTGCCAAAGGAAAAAAAAACAAACCAAACCAAACAAGTGTGATTAATACCTGATAGACTTGAGTTGCTAGAACTCCATCTGGAATCTGAGAAGGGTCCCGTAGCATACTATTTATTAGAGTTTTGGAGG